AAACCACAAGTGCTGATTCACAGGTTCATGCTGTCTGCTTTGTTTTCTGAGTTATGCCTTTGAAATAATCAGTACTTATTACTTTTGGATGGAAAATCCAATAAAGAGCATATAGTGATTTTATCAGTCTGTCTGGAAGAAAGCTGTGTTTACCCAATTGATACAATAAGTTAAAGGAAAGTTTGACAGGTTAGCAGCATCAAAGCAAAAAATACTCTGAGTTTTTATTGAAGCACTAAGTATAGAAGATAACTAGATATTCCTGAGTACAGCAATATATTCTGCTTTGTTCTGAGTTATATCTGTGAAATGATCTGTACTTCTTTCGTTTGGACAGATATATATTTTAATCAAAACATTTTACACATTTTCAGCTTTCTCTCTGTGCTTTCAGCCATTCACTGAGACTGCTGTGCCATTATTTCAATTATTTTTTTACATGCTGCTCTATTATTGTAGTTTAAGGCTGGAAACCCACTGCTTCTTTTTTAAAACCAATAATCAAAAGCAGTTGGAGGATGATGTATGAAATTTAATTATTGATCAGATTCCAATATAATTAATCAGATTCAATTAAATTGTTAAGAAGTAGAATCGTGTTCTTTGAAGGAAAAACTTTCTCAGAAGCTAACAGGAAAACAGAATTTAATATGAAAGTTCAGACAGCACTTTGTAAAATAGCTGTGACCTACCAGACACATCTCTACTATTTTTATTCTGCTTTTGAGATACAATTCTATTGAATGAGGAATTGTGAGCTCTGGGGTCAAAAGGTCATGTTCTGTCCAAAGGTGAGGTGGGATTACAAGCATATCGGCTTGCACAATTTTAGATAGAATCACCCTTATATGGCACATAAAACCAAAACAAACTGTGGTTGGTTGCTTAAATAATGCAAACAACCCAGGAAATAGCAATATTTCTTTATGGAGTTGTTTTAACACCATTTGCCTATAATACAGCTTCCAACTGTCTTAGAATATATTCCTGCAACTCCATTTGAATGTTGTCAATAAAACATCTGCCAGTTGCTGTTGGAGGAAAGAATCAGCTTCTCGTTCTTCTCTCCAAAAGTAGCTTGCTAATATTCAAGTCAGGTGATTTGTCTGGCTAGGGCAGGTGTTGAAGTTCATCTTGGTGCTCCAACTGTGTAAGTTTTATGATTGTGACTCCATCTTTTCACATTTTAGCATTGGCGTCTGTGATTAAAGTTTTAGCAGTTGCAGCTCTTTCATGGATGTTGGCTTGTGAAGCTCTCAGTGGTGGGTTTTTGTGGAAACAGGCTCTTCAAGGTGAATATTGAAGTTTGCTGTCAATTTGCAGCAAAGGTTCTGTGTTGTTTGGACACAATCCATCTTAGTGTTTGACCGTCACTATCATTCACTTTCAGTTTTCACCCATATTTCTTCTTTGCTTACGAAGTCTTGCCATGGCCTGTGTACGCAGTCATAATCGTTCAGACTGTTGATCTTAAAGCACTAAACAATTGGGCTGTTAAAGGGATAGTTCACTCAAAAACTGAAAATTCACAGTTGACGAAGAATGTTGGTGTTTTTTTTGTTTTGGCTACCGTCAGCTCTGTGATTATCAACATTCTTCAGAAAATCTTTTGTGTTAAACTGAAGAAAGAAACTCAAACAGGTTTGGAACAACTTGAAGGTGAGTAAATGAAGGCAGAATTTTCATTTAACTAAAATATTAAACTATACCTTAAAGGATTTTCGTACTAAACAGGCTTCCATGATTTGTCCTTTTTTGGAAGTCTGACAAGTCACCCATTTCGCTTGTACTAAACACTGTTGAACACAACTTATACTACACTGAAAGACAAGCTAGAGAATATAGTCAATGGAAAGATTATCACAACATTTGTTTTTGCACTGAAACCATGTGTTCACCTACACAAATGATATTAACCCCTATAATAATGGGTGTTCACATTATTTTGTATATTAACAATGCTTTTCAGTATGTTTACTTATAATCAACACATCAGCTCTTTTCAGCATTTTGGTTTTCCGCTGATCGTGTGCATTCACCTCAAAACCAATAACAACCAAAAACAAGATCTTAGAAGGGAACACATTTGACTTTCTAGTTAATTTCTGACCCTTCATTTATTTTAACTGAAATTTGCTCTACCCATGACTCTCTCTGATGTGTTTGTGGAGCACAGAAGTGCAGCGGTTTGTAAAAGCGGCGTAAACTCTGTAAAACACATCAGTCCCATTATTGAGAGACAACAGTGGACTGATGCTGCGCCGTCCCCCTCGTACCGTTCTGGGGAATTGAAGCGATCAATTCTTTCCTCCTCAAACCCTCTCTTTCTCCATCTCTGTTTCAGTCCCTGTGATCTCTCTGTTATTTGTAGAACAAATAAGATTGTTGTATGTACTGTAGCTGAGAGCTTGTAGAGCTGTTGGCAGTACAGAAACCCAGATCCCCTCCAGTCTGGTGCTGGAGTTGATCAGGATCAACTGAGATTTCACAAGAGCTTAGTGAAGAGATCAGACCAGTTTTGGGTCAGGTAGTTCTTTCTTTCTATCTTTTTTAAAAAAAAATTTTTTTATATAAATTGTATTTAAACTATAATACCAATTTAATAATCCC